GCCGCAGTGCGCGCTCTCCTTCGCCAAGAAGCACCAGCTCAAGGTGCACCTGCTCACGCACGGCGGCAGCCAGGGCCGGCGGCCCTTCAAGTGTCCCCTGGACGGCTGCGGCTGGGCTTTCACCACCTCCTACAAGCTCAAGCGGCACCTGCAGTCGCACGACAAGCTGCGGCCCTTCGGCTGCCCGGTGGGCGGCTGCGGCAAGAAGTTCACCACCGTGTACAACCTCAAGGCGCACATGAAGGGCCACGAGCAGGAGAGCCTGTTCAAGTGCGAGGTGTGCGCCGAGCGCTTCCCCACGCACGCCAAGCTCAGCTCCCACCAGCGCAGCCACTTCGAGCCCGAGCGGCCCTACAAGTGCGACTTTCCCGGTAACCGCGCGCCGCGGGCTGCGGGGGGCCCCGGGGGCTCGGGTCCGAGTGGAGTCGCTCGGTTGGGTGCGGCGGCGCCCGCCCTCGGCTGCTCTGCTGGGCAGGATCGGAACTCGGTGGGCCAGGTGTGAGGAGCGGGAACGGAGCACGCTGGTGTTTGTGCTCTTGGTGTTTCCAGCTGATTCGATTTGACACCTTGACCCTGCGGGGGTTTCGACAGCGAGGTAGCACGAATAATCCACAGCCGTCCTTCCCCACGGTGAGGACAACAGAGCTCTGAAGGGGCCTCCGGTTAATGAAAGTGATAGCGCATCTTCCCAGTGATTTGAGTTATGAGTCAGGTCTTTCCCTCTGTCTTGTCATTTAAAAATATTCAGTCGTCAGACGCTTACGGGGTGCACACCCCCTCACCCCCGCGAACACGGGAACCCGGGTGAATCTGGCCAGATGCAAGACTGTTAGGCGCTGAGGGCATAATCGCAGGTGCATGGTTCGTCACAGTTTTCTGCTTGTTATACTTTTATTTCCTTTGGACTTCACACTTCTGTGAAGTTCTAAAAATTATCCTGATTTTACAGATGAAGAGACCAATACTGAGCAACGTGGAAAAAATCCAGTGGAGGTTTCTTGCTCCATTGTGATCGCCCCCAGTGTGGGGAATGTGAGGCTCCACACAGAGAGCTCTTCACCAGGATAGGCAGGTGTAGGTGCTCTAAGAGGGAGAGTGTGCCTTCCGAGGAGGAAGAGGAGATTCCTGCCTGGGAAGGAGTTGGTTTGGGGGACTAGGGTGGAAGGCAGTGCTGGTGGGTGAAACCACAGAGCCAAGGCAGGGCATGTGGGCTGTGCTGAGGGCCTGTGGGAAGTAAAGTTGGAAGGGTGTGGGAGGGCCAAGTAGAGGGTGAAGGACTTGCCACATCCCGTACATTACAACAGAAACTCAAGCGTGCCCAGCGTGCGCCCAACGTGCATATTGATTTGTTACATACATGCAGTTCTGTCCTAATGATGTGTTATGAAATATACTCAAATGTGGGGATTTTGAAAGGGTGAAATGAAAAATATTAACGAGATTTAATATTTTCTTCCTACATGCCCATGGACTGTCTTGTGCGTTCCTCTTTGTGGAGAGCGTGGGTTTAGGCCACTGATTCAAAACCTTTCTTGGTCATATGCGCTGGGAATCTGATGGTGGCTTATGGGCCGCTCCCTAGTAAAATGCACGAAGAGCATCATTCTGAGTATAATACTGGGAGTCCAGCCTGGTCTAGGGCTTGAGGTCCCCCTGAGGGTTTTGAGTTGGATGGTGAGTGGGGCATCAGCGTTGGAGATGGTAGAAGTAGGAGAGGGACCAGTAAAGCCCACATTAAGTGTTCCAAACCTGAGTTTCCTGAAGGCAGATGTAGGTAGAGGCAGTGGCAATGGTGAGGAGGCAGCATTGAAGGCTGTGATGGTCCATTGTGCGGAGGGTGGTTCTTGCTAAGGCAGAGAGATTTAGCCTGTTCAGATTTACCTGACAGACTGTGTGAATACACCAAAATACACCCTCCCAAAATGGGAGGGGAGGGCGGGCAGATTTATGCAAAAGGGGAGGATTTTAGGGTGTTTAGGAAGGTCAGCATTTCCCAGTTGAGTGTTGCTCGGAAGAGCAGGGCTGCTTGGGCTAAGTACTTTTATGCGGTGCTGTGCAGAGTGTGGTTACAGATGTGATGGTAGCATGTTAAAGGCTCTGAGAAGAGCTGTGACAAAGACATCTGATAAACATCTTGTAACGTGATGTTTTCCACCCGATTTGAGCACTGAACCTTTGGGTCAAAGGAGAACTACTGATGTGGGAAGTCTGGGAATTGCTGAGGTAGGCCACTTTCTGGTAGCTCAGCTGGGGGTTGAAGGTGCAGGTGATGGGAAAGGCCATGTGAGGAAAGATGACCTCGGAAACCTCCTTTGACAGGGCAGGGAACCCTGAGGAAAGGGGCAAGAAGAGAGAGAAGCCCGATGACAGAGGTGGGGCCGCCAGTTGCGGAAGGTGTCAGGGAGGACGTTTGTAAGTGTGGGGGATGCAGCATCGCCCCCAGGGGTGGGTGAAAATGTCTCAGCCTCGCAGTGGTTTGTGGCCCTTCCACACTGAACCCGACCAGACAAAATCTTGTTCCTTAGGATCTGATTTCTCGCATTGTGTTTTCGTGGGTCTCACGTGGGCAGCGTTGACATTTGAGTTCACAGAACGTATGCAAGATCTGTGCTAGAAAATCTGTGCTACGGAACTGGGAGCAGATGGCTGTGATTGGGGGACTTTCTTTTGATCAGTTGCTTCATCTCTAAGTCACATCACAACAGGTGGCCTGAATGTGCCTCTTGGCTGCCCTTAGTCTCTCCTGCTTTAGCCATTACAAAGGCAGACGTCAGTGGTTGTGATTTTCCAGAGGTGTGCTTCTCAGTCATTGTCGTCTTATTGTTCTGCTTCTCGTTGTTCTGCTTCAGTGGCAGCAGTGTCCTGGGGTGGTGACTAGTTGAGCTGTGTTGTGTGATTCTTGTCACACTAGTGAGCAGAGTTTGTGTTTTCTTTGTTCAGGCTGCGAGAAGACTTTCATCACAGTGAGTGCTCTGTTTTCCCATAACCGAGCCCACTTCAGGGAACAAGAACTCTTTTCTTGCTCATTTCCTGGATGCAGCAAACAGTATGACAAAGCCTGTCGCCTGAAAATTCACCTGAGAAGTCATACAGGTAATGGCCCGAGGAGGCACTGTCGTTTGGAACCGAGATTTGACTTTATGGTAGCTTGCATTTATAGTGATGTGGTGTGATTTTATTTATTTATTTTTTTCCTAAGGTGAAAGACCTTTTATTTGCGACTCGGACAGTTGTGGCTGGACCTTCACTAGCATGTCTAAACTCCTAAGGCACAAAAGGTAATCTTTACATTTTGGTTGAATTGTCAGTTTTGGAAATGAATGAATGGTTTCTCAGTAGCAGAAGCCTATAGATAAGATATCTGTAGTTTTTTTTAAGTTATAGAAAAAGGAGCCCAATGTAGATAATTTGGAAAATTCAGAAAGCTGTTAGAAGAAAACCACTCAGACTCTGATTACCTAAAGGCAGTTTTTCTATATATTTGTTCTTAAACTTAACTGGTATACTTTATATGCAATTCAGTATTTTAAAACGTTACCGTTGTAGGACAAGCTTTCCTCCTGTCATCACAATCTTTCCATGTGACATGATGACCTTGGGCTTGGCCTGTGTGCAGGCGATGTTCAGCACTTTACACGTATATCTCATTTAATCTTCACGATGACTCTGACTTGGATGTTCTTATTTTCCTGGTTTGCATTAGGCCTCAGAGAGGTTGAGTGGTTTGTCCCTGCTTACACAGCTGGGGTTTGCTTTAAAAACGTTACTTAGGAAAAGACTATGTTTATGTATGGGATTGAGAGGGTCTTTTTAGCACTGCAGTCGATTTCCTGTGCACACTTCTCGTTGCCCTCAGTGGCTCGGAAAGCTTGTTTATTATCGGGATTTCTAGACAGTGGAAATAGCTTCATCAATATGTTTGGGACTCAACTGTTCCTCAATTAAAGCAGCACTAATTGTTCTGTGTTGGACTCTGGGGTCAGCTTAGGCATTAAGATAGAATTTCTAATTACAGGGTAGCTAACTTGTAAATCTGCCCACATGGGCTAGAGACAGAATTGAGATTTTCTGAAATGTACTGATCATTTTTTTTTAATGTGAAGAATTTGTAGTTTGGTATATTTTGTAGAGTTTTAAACAAAAGAGTCACCTCCGAAGCCTGGTGCCTCCGGGTTGTGTGAGTAATCGCTGTTCCATGTTGTGTTCCGGCAGGAAGCACGATGACGACCGGAGGTTTACCTGCTCTGTGGAGGGCTGCGGGAAGTCGTTCACGAGAGCGGAGCATCTGAAAGGCCACAGCATCACACACCTGGGCACGAAGCCGTTTGAGTGTCCTGTGGAAGGTAGATTTTAGTACGTTACTGTGAGCTATAAACTAGCACCACATCCACGTTGATGTTGTAAGTTGAAGTTGTTTAAAGGTGAGTTTTAGTTGCTTAAAGACAAGGCGAGTGTGAGTTGCAGCACTAGATTTCCTTGGCTGGTTTTTAGGTCAGTGCTTTATCTGGGGAGCAGTGTATCGAGAAGAACAGACTTCAGAAGCAGACCTGATTTGACTCGTGGCCCTGCGGTGCACTCGCTAGATCTGTGGCTCTACTTAGTTCCCTGTTTAATTTGGTGCCTATAAGGATTAGGTGAAATAACATGGCGAAATGCCTATTTTGCATCTGGCACATATCACGGACTCAGTAAATGGTAGCTACTCATGCTGCAATTGGACAGCAGTAAAGCTAGGCTGGATATTGGGGAGTTTTTTTTCTCTAAAACACCGAAGGCCTGATTTATTCACCAAAAGTCTGTCCGTCGCCTGTTCGTGCTGGCCCTGCTCTAGTGCAGCAGATGCACTGGGGTGGTGGATGCAGGTCAGTCTAGGGCTGTGAATTGTATCCTGGCTCCAGCCCTCCTTAAGTTGGTGACCTCAGGCAAGCCTCTGTGGGCCTCAGTTTCCTTCTCTGGAAAAGGGGATAATAAAGACCCATTTGAAACTGAGACCACTTCCTGGAATGTAATGAATGTAACACAGATGGTATGACCGAGACACAGTTCCTCCTCTCATCAGAGCTCCAAGTGGGGAGCGACAGGTAGACAGATAACATGCTGCGTGCGGTGGGGCACAGAGGAGGTCACCCAGCTGTTCCGCAGGCATGGAGGCATGGGAATGGCCTCCCAGTCAGTCGAAGAGTGAGAAGAGCTAGCCGGGGGTGGTGGAGACAGAAAGGCCAGCATGGGGACATCTCCCAGAGCTGCAAGAGCAGCAGGCTGAGTGCTGGAGGCAGAGGAGTCATGGGATCCTATTTGCATTTAGGCTCAGTCTGGTTTCCTGGTGCCTGGGCTGGGGTTTGGCAGTGGCAAGGCAGAGAAGGCGTAGACGAGAGAGAGGAGTTAGGATTAACTGTGTTTGGTGACAGATTTGGAAGATGGGCCTTGTGGGAGAGGCAGTGGTTGGGGTCAGTATCTCAGTTGAGACCGGGACACAGGGCAGGTGGTTGGAAAAAGAGGCGTTTGGCTTGGACATGCTGCACTTTACATATCCACGGGCTTGCTAAGTTCAGATGCTCAGAAGGTGGGGCATGTACTGCTGGGGCGGGGTGAGCAGGTGTGCTAGGAGCACACCAGTGATGGGTTAAGCCGTGGCCGGGGAAGTCCTTCTCGAGAAACACTGTCAGCTGGAGAGAGGCAGTGTGGTGTAGTGAATAAAGGCGTGAATGCTCGAGTCAGACTGCCTGGGTTCCGATTTCAAGTCTGCCACTGAAGCAGCTCTGAGAGCTTGGACGAGCAGCTCAAGCTCTGTGCCTCTTTTCCTCGTCTGCAAAGTGGTAATAAAACCTCATAGGGCTGTTGTGAGGGTTCGATTACTAAGTTTAATTAAGGCGTATAAAAACATCAGTAAATGTTCCCTACTGCTGCTGTTACAATTATAAATAAAAAGGCCTAGAACCAAACCCTGGGGACTGTCACACATTCAGGGGGAAAAGTAGCAGGGGAACCCTGGGAGGGGCTGAGAAAGAACGTCGAGAGGTAGAGCTGGTGGCACTGAAGCCCAGAGGAGGATGTTTGGGAAAGGAGGGGAGTCAGTCCCCAGTGCTGGGGTGCTGTGGGAGGGTGAGGGGTGTGCGTGGACTCCTCTGGAAGCTCATGGGGTCTTGTGGAGCGAGGTTCGAGCTTGGGTGGAGTAGCTTGGGCAAAGCCCTGCTCTAGTGCCCTGAGAGGTGGGTAAGGCGAGGCAGGGGGCAGCTGTGCTGACCCTTCTAGAGGTGATTGAAGGAAACAGGAAAGGGCAGAGCTGGCTACAGAGGAGGGGCTGTTCGTTTTTGCCTTTCGGTAACTACAACCTTGAGAACTTTGAGCAAGTCCAGGTGTTGAGGTGCTGGTAGAGAGATGCAGATAATGGGAGAGGGGTGATTGGGCAGTGATCTGTTGAGAGTGTTTTTCTCAAGGGAATGGAGGTGAAGGCAGGAGCCTGGTGGAGGGACCCCAGAACCCGTCTTTGGATTGGCTGAGAATTGATCATTCTTCAGTCTAGGTGATTATACTATTTTCTCTGCATTTGTAGATGTTTGAAATGTTCCATAATAAAAAGTTAAAAAACAACTACCATCCGCCTTTTCCATAGTAACAGGAGGAGAAGAGGAGGATGGGGCTGTATGGTAGCAGTGTATGTGAGGGAGGGCAGGATGGGGGACTGAGGACAGCCTGTGTGTGATGGGAGCTTCTCCAGGCACATGTGGGGGTATCTCTGCATATCTAGAATGTCGTGGAGTGCCTCACATGGAGTCAAGGTTGCTAGATGTGTGGTCATCATGTAAATATGTGAGTTGAGCAGATTTCCGTGGAGTTGGGGTTTAGAGGGAAGTTTGTCACTGATGGGCTGCCTCTGCCCCTGGGTCGGGGTAACTTGGTATAAATGTGGGGTGCTGTTGATTAATATCTTTGATTTGTAAGGATCTGACACAAATCTCAGTTTATGTTGCAGTTAGGAAAAGACAGCCGTTAACACACGTGGAAAAATAGCCACACTCCTGGTCATCAAAGGAAATAAAAGTTAAAATGAAATAGATTTTGTTCCCTATTGAATTAGCAAATATTTTTTTAAATGGGAACTCATTGCTGGCAAGAGTGTGGTGGACGTCCCTATTGTGATTGTTCCCTGTCCTTGCAAAAGCAGTTTGGTAAAGGGTATATTCAGCGCCTCTGCTCTGATTTGCCTCTAGAAATCCATGCTGAGGAGTCCTAGCTGAAAGAGGGAGTCAGGGACATTGCAGGTGCAGGGTGCTCCCACGCCCTGTGGACAGTGCACCTTGGGTGAGACTGCAGGTGTCTCCTCTCTCTCTTGTGTTTTCCAAATGTTCTGTCAGGAGCCTGACCTGGAAACAAGTTTGAAGCTTTGAAAACGAAATAAGTTCAGAACTCCTCTCAGAGGCAGCCAAAGCCCTTACTCATTTGGCCCTTTCCCGTGTATGTAGCCTCTTTTCCTAAAATAGCCCTCGTCCAGGCCCTGGACACCAGCACTGCCACCTCGCAGCCCCGAGAAGGTGCCATAAGCAGAACGATGCTCTTTTCCACTTTCTCAGGCGCTGTGCAAGTACTCTAGTTGATATTGTTCCATTTAGTCCTTGTAAGCCCTGTGAAGTCAGTGTCATTCCCACTTTATGAAAGAGAAAAAGGAGGTCCAGAGAGGATCAATAAGGCCACACAGCTAGGAGGGGGCTCAGCTGGAGTTGGGTCCAGTTACACTAGCTTCAGAGCCCAGGCCCTGCCCACCCTGCCCTGCTGTGCTCGTGGCCTCTGTGCCAGAGATTGGCAGCTCCCTTGGCCTGGACGCCCTTCTGCTCTGCTGTGGGTTTCCCTACCACTTGTCAAGGCCCCGTCACCTAAATGCTACCTGTCTCTTGAGACCTTTTTTGCTCTCAGGAGGTACCCTGTGTCCTCTGCTTCCAGAACACTTCACAGCACTAGCACTGGTTTATTCTGCCCTTTGCTATGACAGCTGGTGCTTGACATGTCCCTACCAGCTCACAGGCGTGCAGCTGCCCAGAGCCCTGCTTCCCCTCTGCTGTCCCCACGTGGAGGGCTCCAAGAGTGGGGAATCAGGGTGTGAAGGAAGGGGGCTGTGGTTCTGAATTTGTCTTGTTTTCCTTCTGACACACACATGCAGGTCTGTGGTCTCACTGACTGTGGCTGAGCAGTTCAGTAGTCAGTCAGCAAGGCAGTGCCAGCTTCAGGCTCCACTCATGCCCCTCAGACCGTTTGCTTGGTCCCTCTGGGCATCAGTTTCTCAGTGGTAAAATGAGAGGAATTGGCTTTGGTGATCTCTTGAGATAGTTTCCAACTCTAAATGTCATAGGATTACAGTTGTCTTTATAGTAGTAGCGTAATACAGATGATTAGTATAAATTTTTAGTGCTTGAACGTTGAAGGAGTTGTTAAACACTTAATTTGTCTTCATCTTCCCAGCAGCCCTATGTAGTGAGTGAAGAAAGAGGCTCCAAGTTAACTTGTCAAGGTTACGCGTCTTAGACACAACCCATGTGGGACTTCAAATATCCTTTTTTTTTTTTGTGAGGAAGATCAGCCCTGAGCTAACATCCATGCTAATCCTCCTCTTTTTGCTGAGGAAGACTGGCTCTGAGCTAACATCTATTGCCAATCCTCCTCCTTTTTTTTTTTTTTTTCTCCCCAAAGCCCCAGTAGATAGTTGTATGTCATAGTTCCACATCCTTCTAGTTGCTCTATGTGGGACGCGGTCTCAGCGTGGCCGGAGAAGTGGTGAGTCGGTGCGCGCCCGGGATCCGAACCCAGGCTGCCAGTAGTGGAGCGCACGCACTCAACCACTAAGCCATGGGGCCGGCCCTCAAATATCCTTTTAAAAACAGAGTTTGCTTTTGAATTTAATTCCTTGTCATCCTGCTCTGAGGGATATTTGGTGGATGTCCCTTGCCAGTGGCCATGCAAAGCTGTAAGCCATGCCTTGTCTTACGATTCTGATGTTAGGAGGAAATGTTGACACTGGTTCCTTGGTAATCCTCAGGTTTAACATTCAGTATTGTTCCAGGGTGCTGTGCGAGATTCTCCGCTCGCAGCAGTCTCTACATCCACTCCAAGAAACACCTACAGGACGTGGGTGCTCCGAAGAGCCGCTGCCCGATCTCCAGCTGTAACCGACTCTTCACCTCCAAGCACAGCATGAAAGCGCATGTGGTCAGACAGCACAGCCGGCGCCCAGGTCTGCTCGATTTATGTCCCTCTTAGAGCGCTACAGAGATATGTAAGCTTAACACATGTCAGAGAAGCAAAAGCATCGTGTTCCTTCCTTAGCACCTTTCAGAAGTTGTCCAGTTCATAGGTTAAATTAATCTAGTACAGTGAAGCCTTACTAGCCCGTGCACCATGGCTGCCAAGCCTAGTGTCCTGTCTTGGACTCTGTCCTGCCACTTCTTGCCTCTGACCGTCTGATACCTGCCTTGTCTTTGAAGTGCTTTCCTTAACTGATCGGGTGCCTGCCTCTGTCTTTACAGCTGATTCCCACTCTCCCCAGCCCTGAGCTGGTGCTCTGTGATGCCACATACCTGGGCCTGCTCTTTGCTCTGCTGTTCCGCTTCCTAACCTGGCCTATTCAAGTCAGCAGCGGCATCGTTTATTCCACATGAGCTTTCCTTCATCTCCGACTGGGTGTGAACACCTCTTAGATGCTTCTGTAGTGCCTCTGTCTCCTGTGCTTGCATTTATGATGTGACGTTGACTTACTTGTGTGTCGCTCTTCCCTGCCACTTATCAGGGTAGATGACCAGGTGTTGTTCCAGTGCTTGCCTCCTGAGACATAGGTGCTTGGGAGCGTCCATGTATCGTGGACCGCCTGTCAGGGGCTCTGCCAGGCCCTGGATTGGCTGTTTGAGTTCCCCTCACAGTGGTCCTGGGGTGGGGGTGCTTACAGCTCTGTAACCAAGGTGGAGAGGAGAAGGACTTGCCCGAGGTCTTACAGGCAAGGAAGTGCTAGAGCGAGGCTCTGTTAATTAATGTTTATTTAATGGTTTTTGGCTATCTGGCCCTTGCGCTTAGCAGGTCTCCAGTAAATATTTGTGGAATTAATGAAATGCTAAATAGGAAATTTATGAGTGAACTGGTATCTCTATTTGCACTGAGATGTTTATTCTTAATCTTTTCATAGGGAACTGAATCTTCAAGATAGTCAAGGGAATTTTGGGGAAAGTTTTGGGAAAGTGACATAGTTTTCCATATTTCATTTCTACAAAGAATCACTGCCATTTTCTTTTGAAATGTTTCATTGGTACTAAGAGATACTTGTTGAAGAAGCAATAACAGGGCCGGCCCTGTGGCTTGGTGGTTGAGGGCGCGCGCTGCGATGCTGGCGGCCCGGGTTCGGATCCCGGGTGCGCATCGAGGCGCCACTTCTCCGTTCATCCTGAGGCCGGGTCCCACGTGCAGCGGCTAGAAGGGTGTGCAGCTGCGGCACACAGCTATCCACTGGGGCTTTGGGGGGAAAAAGTAAATAAAATCTTTAAAAAAAAAAAAAAGAAGCAATAACATATTGATCCTATTTTTAAACTTTGAAGTAATGTGACAACTAAAGGTATATTCTGAATCTGGTTTTTTATTTTTGAGGGGTCTAGAATAGATTTCTTTCATACGTTTGCATTAGAAATACAGTAGGCACTCTGACCAGGCATCCACCACTGGAAAGTATGAGTTTGGGATTATCTGACCGTTGGTAGGGGTGGAGTAGAGCCAGAGACCTGCGAGAGCCTTTTCCCTTTGGGTGGGCACTGGTACATTCTAGAAGCTGCAGGTGGAGATTTTTGGGGAAAGACTAGCGTCAAGGCCTTGCTGGGCTCCTTTGCCTAAAGTCTTTGTGCTCGCATATTCCTGTTTGCTTGGTGCTTGAAGAGTCCTAGGGTTTGGGACAATGGGGTGTACTGGTGTATAAACCCCTAACTTGAGTACTCATTGAAATTTTTTTTAAGTATGTTAATGTACACTACTGTACATTAATGTACACTAAGAGTATTCTGATTATTAAATTACTTTATTGAATAACAGACATTTGAAGCGTGTTAAGGCCAACAATTAAAACTGAATGAATTATTTATACTGTAATCATTAACTGTTGCTTAAGAGCCAGGCACTGTACCTGGTGCTGAAGGACAAAGATGGGTCAGACAGTCTGTACCCTCAAGGTGGTCATGGCCTGGGGGAGGGGTGTATTAGAGGTTGGAAATACCACAATGGCGGGGAGGGGTTGCCTTCCAGAGAAGTGCCATAGAGGGAGGACACCACTCCAGAGCTGCTGGGGGCACCTGATGTCCAGTTGTCTGCAGCTCCCTTGAGCTGGGGCCTTGATCCCCGTCCAGAGTCAGGCCCACAGGCCAGTTTTTCCCCACTGATCACTCCCAGATGACTCAAATCCATTGTGGAGTGGCAGCTAGTTGTGGAGTGGGGCATAGAGTTTGATGAGACACGAGCTGACACAAACTGATTCCAAAAATATCCCCAGAACCAGAGTTCAGCTTGTGCCGACCTCTGAAGATTTGTATTCCATGGAAAGTTTTAGTCTTCTTAGGGGTAGCTATTGTGGTATAGCAGAAAGCTTATAGGATTTGAAGCCAGAAAGATGGATTCAAGTCTTGCTTCTTCCTGTTAACCAGTTAATGTGACTTTAGGAAATGTTATTTAGTTTCTTGAGTCATTTCTGTCTGGAGAAATCACTGTCGTCTCAAGGGTTTAAGACAATGTGTGTAAAATGCCTCACAGTCATCAAGTAGTTCCTTCATTCAGTGTGCGGCCACCTTCCCCGTGCCAGGTGGCGGGTTTAGAAGAGGACAGTAGATGTTGCCTTGATGGGTCGCTTGCTAACATCATGAGCACATGCAAAACATGCTAGTCCTCTGAGGTCCTCGAATAACTGGAGTGTTCATTCGTTTTTCAGATCTCTTCCCTCAGCTAGGAGCTCCGAGTTCTCTGACGCCCAGCAGTGAACTGGGCAGCCCAGGCCAAAGCGAGCTCAACAACATAGACCTGGCGGCGCTCTTCTCCGACGCACCTGGGGACGGGGGTAGTGCAGTGGGGGCCTCAGACGAGGCACTGAACTCCGGAATCCTGACTATCGACGTAACTTCTGTGAGCTCCTCTCTTGGGAGGCACCTCCCTGCTAATAATAGTTCCTTAGGGCCAGTGGACCCACTGGTCTTGGTGGCCCACAGTGACACTCCTCCAAGCCTGGACAGCCCTCTTGTTCTCGGGACAGCATCCACAGTTCTTCAGCAAAGCAGCTTCAGTATGGAGGATGTGCAGACTGTAAGTGCAGGAGCACTAGGCTGTCTGGTAGCTCTGCCTGTGAAGAACTTGGGTCCGGACCCAGGGGCATTGACCTCCAGCAGTAATTTAGCAGCTAACTCCACCACACTGATCTCTTCAAGTGCTCCCCAGGGAAACACCGGTGTCCCAGAGCTGCTGGCTCCGATCAAAGTGGAGCCGGCCTGGCCTCCTGGCCCTGAGGCTGTCAGGCAGCAAGAATGCAGCAGAGGGGCGTCCCCGTCTGTGCTCTCCAGCCCTGCGGAGAAGCCCTGTCCTCAGAGAGATGCGGGGCTCAGTGCAGGGACCGGCAACTTATATTTGGTATGAAGTGCTATGTTCGCTCACCACCGTGTAGCTCACTTCTCTTACACTCGATTTTGAGAATGTTCTGGATTAATCACTTAACGCGCAGACATTTCTTACTGGTTGCAAAAGGACGAGCCCTGGACTACAAGTCTGGAAGTCTGAATCCTGATCTTGAGTCGAACTGACTAATTTTTATAACCTTGAGCAAATCACTTACCCTGTCTGAGCCTTAAATTCTCATTTATTTCTAAAATGAGGGGGTTTGGCTAGATGATTTCTAAGGTCCTTTTGAGTTCTTTGATTCTGTGATAATGTATTTCTTTTCTTGAAAAAAATTGGGGTATTTCATACTGTTGAAATGTTCTGCCTTTGTGTTTTTCACATAATAACAAGTCCTTAAACTTACTAATGACCAGAGGAACAGGAATCGTGACAGCAACTGTCTTTAAAGGTTTAATGGAAACTTTAAAACCACACACACAAATTTTTTTTAAATTAGAATTAAGGAGAAAAAAGGGAGTGGTTTGTGAGCCTTTGTTTCTGGAGGGTTATAAGAATACTTCTCCAATTTTGAGGCTGACAGTTAGTATACTTTAATGATATTTATGCCAGTTATACATTTAATATAATTTAATTTAAAATAATTTAATTGAAGAGTCTTAGGAAAGAGTCTGACTTTTTCCTCTGTCTCAGATGGGAATGATCAAATAGGTTTTTTCTCTGTGGTACAGGTTCAATTTGATGGTGATGTTCAAAATGTTAAATCTTATTTTACCACAATTTTTTTTAAAACGTGAAATCCTTTGAATTAGAATCAGTTGTGAGGGAAGTGGTAACCCATTTACCATAGAGCCAGCTTTCATTTCTCTCAGTCTGAGAGAAGCGAGGTCTCTGGTGCATCTCTTCCGGCATCTTGCTTGGTGGCGGCATAGCTCCCCTTGCTAACCTTTGCTTAGGCTGCTGCAGAGGTTGCTGAGTGGGCAGGTGGCTGGGCCGGGAGGGGAGGTGGCCGAGGCTCAGAGATAAGTGGGGAGGCAGTGCCTGTGTGCAGGGCCTTGGTGCCTTGGGAAACTGTAGTTCTCTGGTGCCACCGCCTCTCCGGAGCCGTAACGGGGGTGGAGGCAGGAGGAGCTGCCATGATGCCATGACCTTGATGCTGACCCCTTGTTCGTTTTCTCGATAGCTGTGTGACGTTGGGCTGCCTCGATTCTCTGAGCACAGATGGTGTGTGGTGAATGGGTTACAGGTATGCCACGAGCTGTGGAGGGCTGTTCTTTTTGTAGTGATGAGTATTAAACTTTTCTTATAAAACATTCACAAATTGACAACAGTTGAAGTCCTGTTTGAATACTCTTTGGCACCCTCAGTAAACTTCCTGAATTCAGGAACATAATTATTGTCTTGGTGTATGAGACTTTGAGTCGCACCCCTGCCGCCAGAGCAGCCTCTGCAGTGGGTGTGTGAGGTAGGACCTCCCCGGCTCTGCCTTATAAGGGTTGTGTGGCATGTTCTGAAAAATGTGGGAAGTGCTGCAGTAAATTAGTCCTGAATTACTGGAGGAAGGCTGGTTATTTGTTTCAGACAGCAGAGAAGTATGTAATTCATTTTATAACAGTTTCTGTGTAAAATATTTTAATATGTTTTAGACTTTGGAGGAATAAACTTTGCTTCTCTGGATAATAAAATTATGTATATTGTTCCAACTCTGATTTCATTTAGCTGTCACTGTGATTGAATGTAGCATTTGATTCTCTGTGAGCCTTTTCTGGAGATCTCAGAGTACTGGACTCTGCCTGTTCAGGAAGCAGCCTTAGTACGTGTCACTAGCTCCCTTGCTACCCTTCCTTTGCTGTTTGCATCGCGTTACTGACACCCTTTTCTTTGGTCTCAGGAAAGTGGGGGCTCAGCAAGAACTGATTCCCGAGCCATTCAACTAGCCAAGAACAAAAAGCAGAAAGGAACTGGGAGCAACGCAGGTGAGGCTGTGTGTGCCGCAGTGCTGGGGAGCGAGGGAGCTGCCAGTCACCTTAGGTTACTTCAGGGCAGAAGAAACACACAGAACAGTAGTGTTTCTTTCTGTGTGCTGTGTGTTCCTTTTATGCTAAGAACGCCCTTTTATCAACTCCTTGGTTTTATGTAAACTTAAGAAAAAAATCACTAGCAAAGTTCCCCACATCAGTGTGAATATGTCTGTCTTACTTAAAAAAGCTGCGTGCAAGTTAGTGGTTGCAAACACCAGTGTCTGTTACCTGGCAGGCTGCTAAGGTAAAGAACAAATGCCAGGTGTCAGATGAGCGGAGGTGGGAACCTGGTCCTAAATGGCTGCTGGCCCCTGACTTTGGCATTGGGAAGACCTTGGGGACACGGCTACCACTGTCCCCAGCATTACATGGAGCCAGCCCCTGGTGGCATGTGTCATTATGGATACCCAGATCCGAGTTATGTTGAAATCTTCTAATTTTAAAATGTCAGCAACTTTTTTGAATTTTTAACACTGAGTGGGCCAGACCAGACCTGCTGGTTTGTCTCCTCATACATCTGTCCGTCTGTCCTGAAAATGGAATAGTGGGCACAGTGCTTAAAGGAAACTTCGGTAAATCCTTTTGTAAAGGTAACAGTCAATTCTTTTATTGTTATTTTGAATGTTTCATTTCTCTTTTATATTTATCTAAAATTTATTTTAAAAATATCAAGGGGTATGTAGGATTAGTAATACAATTTTATATGTTTCTGTTCTTACAAATATCATGGCTTTTTATTTAGTATAATAAGAAGTCTGTTTTCTGTTAATCAATTTTCTTAAAGCAAATCCTGCCCTATGATAAATGTTGTGCATGTTGGTGTTCACTGTGACTGAGGAAGGGTCACCTCCACAGCTCACGAAGGGCCCAAATGGAACTTGCAGAGCTAATAAAAGAAAGGGTGTTGGTGGTGGTGATGCTGGCAGTTTATAGAATGAAAGAATTCAGCACGTATTAGGCAAAGTTAGCGAAGGAAACTAGATGCGTTTATTTAGCCTGATAATCTCCAGCCTGAAGGAAAAAGAATATGCGAATATTTAGGTATATAATACGTGTTATATCCATTGCATTGCTTCAGGTAGCACCTATAGAGGTAGTTTTATTTTATTATTGTTTTTATAAATTTTTCAACATTATCTTTAAAAAAAATGACACTTAAAAAACATAGCCACTTACTATTATCACTTCTTTAAAAATTAACAATATTTCCTGAATATGAGTATCTAGCAAGTGTTCAAGTTTTCACTTGTCTCCATGCCATAAATGTCTTTATAACTGTTCGAATCAGAATCCAAGTAAGGGTCACATATTACTATTGGTTGATGCGTTTCTTAGGTCTCTTTTACATCTGTGGGTTCCTCCTTCCGTCTCTCTCCCCTGTCTTTGTTGAAGAATCTGGTGGTTTGTCCTGTCGAGTCAGCAGTCTGGATTTTGCTGATTGCATCACTGTGGTGTAGTTTAATAGGTTCCTCTGTCTTCTGTGTTTCCTATAAATTAGTAATTACACCTAGAGGCTTGATCTGATGGAAATTTGATTCTGTGGGGGCAGGTGGGGGGTTTAGCAAAGCAGCTTTGCAGGTGATGGGACTCTCTGATGTCTGGTGGTCAGTCTGTCCTGTGTTGTTAGCAGCCATTGATAACCAGTGACTGGATCTAGTAATTCCTTAGGGGTTGCAGAAAGATGATATTCTGTCATTCCTTTTTCATTACTAGCTAGGATACAGTAGTCCCGCCTTGTCTGAGGGGGATACATTCCAAGACCCCCACTGGATGCCTGAAACTGCAGATACTACCGAACCCTATATTTACTATGTTTTTTCTATACATACATACCTATGATAAAGTTTAATTTATAAATTAGGCCTAGTAAGAAATTAACAACAATAATAATAAAATAGAACGATTATAACAATATATGTAACAGAAGTTATGTGAGTGTGGTCTTTTTCTCTTTCAGTCCAAACCTATTCCTGAATCTGTATAACCATCCCTTACTTGCAGTAAATGCCTTGGTGTCACTCATTTTAGGGGATCCCTTGCTAAAGTCTTCGTATAGGCTCCAAGCTTTCTGGCGGAGCATCTTGCCATCATTTGGGACACATTTTCTGTTCATGTCTTCCACCCACAAATTTAATGCCTTTTCCATCTTAACTAAGCACTTACCACGCACTGTGGCTGTAACTTTTGCAGTTTGAGGTGCAACTGCAAAACTAGCACGAATTTCTTTTTCCTTCTTCACAATTTCACGGAAAGAAGATTCATTCTTACCATAGATCTTCGCAACTTCAGCATACAATTTATTTTCTTTCCTTATGAAGTCAAGAACTTTCACCTTTTCACTTAAAGGAAGAACTTTACGGCTTCTCTTTGGCATATCTGAAGTGCCAGCATCACTACTCCTGCGCTTGGGGGCATTTTTAAGTAAAATAAGGGTGACTTGAACACAAGCACTGTGATACTTCGATAGTTGATCTGATAACTGAGATGGCTACCAAGTCACTAACGGCCAGGTAGCGTTATACAGTGTGCATACGCTGGACAGAGGGATGATTCATGTCCCGGACGAGACAGCGTGAGATTTCATCACGCTACTCAGAACAGCGGGCAATTTAAAACTTATGAATTGTTTATTTCTGGAATTTTCCATTTAATATATTCAGAACGAGGTTGACCACAGGTAACTGAAACTGGATAAGGGGGACTACTGTACTTATGTAAAGAGCAGCTTCTCATCCACTCTTTACCCTGAGGTACAGTCCATACAGAAAAGTCAGGGTAAATGTCTGAATCTTTCTCTTTATCAGTTTTCAAAATAGTAAACTGGTTTCTTAGCATTCTCCAATGGTGGTCAGAGTATTTTTATACAGATATTGATTTAAATATTTTATAGACTTTTAAGGGAAACAGAAATCTAGAACCTGCCAAGTATCCAGCTTTCATTATGTGAAGGCAGTGGAAGAATTTTCTTGTAAGTGCAAAGGCTTACGTTTCGCCCCCCACATCTCCTCAAAAAGCCATCTTGAAGTATTGTAACCAGCCAAGAGATAGAGGAATATAAATAAGGCCCATAATCCCTTTTCCAAAACCCTTGGGGCCAGCAGAGTTTATCTACCTGACATTTTATTTTGCTAGAATTTTAGACTTGCAGAAAAAATTGCTTCCGTAGTAGGCAGCACTCTATGCATATTGTCACCTGTTTGTGACCTCCAGTTGTGGTGCCCTTCACCCAGCCTCCCCTCATGTTAACATCTCCCGCAGTCATGGTGCATTTACCAAAGCTAAAAAGGGATCCAGGCCACAGTCCTCTTCACAGTCCTGGTCTGCAGAGTTTATTGGGATTGGACTGGTTTCCCACTAGTGTCCCTTATCTGTTCCAGGATACCAGGTTGCATTTGGTTATCACCACTCTTTAGTCTTCTGCAGTCTGTGTCGGCCCCTCAACCCTTCCATGATGCTTTTCAAGAGTGCCGGTCCATGAATCTGGAGTGTTCCTCCCTTTGGGTCTGTCTGTTGCTTTCTCTTGATTAGACTGAGGTTATGGACTTTTGGAGCCAGAGTGAGGTGCCCTTCTCATTGCCTCTTATGCAATCCACACATTACAGGTGATGCTAACCTTGATCACTGGGTTAAGGTGTTGTCTGCCAGGTTTCTCCATTGTGACGTTACTATTTTTCCCTTTGTAATTAGTATTTATTTTGAGGTGGATACCCTGAGATGGTGTGCAAATCTCAGGGTTCTACAAGATGACCCCTACTTGTGACACCAACTGCAAGTTCGAGTGTCTCCAAGACCACTCTTAAAGTTCTCTAATTCTCTAGAAGGGCTCAAAACTACGGTCATGGATTATTGCAGTGAAAAAATACAGAATAAAGTCAGCCAAGGGAAGAGGGGCATAGGACAGGCTCCAGGAGAGTTCCTAGTGTGAAGTGTCCAGTTGGCTTCTCCCTGGAGTTGTGGACAGTGCTAACTTCTCCCACCATGTGACGACATACACAGAGTATTGGCAATCAGGGGAGCTCACCCAACCAAGCCTTGCTGTCCAGACATTGATTAGGGCTTGATCGCAAAGACATGGCACCCTCTCCATGTGGCTGGCTTAGTCTCCAGCCCCTCCACAGGTTGAGCTGACACTGACTCAAAGCCTCCACCTAAGTCACATTGTTAGACTCTCTGGAGTGACCCAGGGCCCCAGGTAAACAGAGACACCCCTACCAGGCAGGACGTCCCAAGGACCTTGAGATTCCTTCCCAGGAGCTGGGGGCAAAGGCCAGACCTCTCCTTGGGCACAGTTAATCCATTCCCACACATTGTGCAAACATCCTGTTTCTCCTCAAACCTCCCACTAATTCAGCACTAAAGGGTGGATTTGCCTTTGGTATTACTGTGGTGGTCTAATGGTGATTTTCTGTTTCCCCCATTATTGTACATTATTAATTAGAATTCCTCTGTGAGGAAGAGCTGTCACTTTTCTCATTTATTTATTCATTCCGTTATAGCAGTGTGGACTCAAAGATACTTATTTATCCTTTAGGTTATTATGATCAATATTGAATTATAATCAATATTATCAGTATTTATTTTGCTGCTCAAATTGTTCCAGCTTTGGCCACTGGGAGCTCTTTTGGTTGGGTTCTTGTGCCCTTTCAACATGCCTCATCTGGTTTTTTGGGAGGACACGTCATTGCTTTCTGGCACCACCAGGCTCATCTCGTATTATCCCTGCCGCAGCCCTGGAATCAACCACTTCTCCAAGGAGCCCTGTTCCTTTTATGGGAGAATGGTGTTAGGAACCACGGTCTGGGTGCTCAGTGTGCTTGTTGCTCATTGCTATCAGGGTGTCATTGCGTCTAGGCTCGCTTCAGTGGACAGTGCTAGGAAATATATTTATGCATATTAACCCACGCTAGCTGTGTTTTGAATTCAGAATATTTCACATTTTAGAATGCTGATGTGGT